AGAAACCCTAAAAGACACTCTCCGCCCTGCCGCCACCGCCTAGCTCAGGATGACCCGCGGCCGCCCTAGAACACGAGCCTGCGTTGGGCCGAGAGAGGAGAGGTAGGGGAGGCAGATCAGGAGGAACACAAACCCTAACTAGAGGGAAAAAGCTGAGACTCCTGGCATATCGAGAGATGGGATCGGTCAGGCTAGGGTTAGAGCCGGGCCTTGGTGCAAATGGGCCGGCCTAACTGCAGGTTGCAGCTGGTGGGAGGTCCAGCCAGGCTCTTCTCTCTCTCTCTCTCTCTCTCTCTCTCTCTCTCTCTTATTTACTAATAACAAAGAAGAAAAGGAGTAGAAAGGAGGTGTTAGGGGAAGAAGTTGGACACACGGATAAATTTCCCGGACTCACGAAAAAGCGCTTGGTCCGAGAAATAGAAGTTGGCACGAATGCAAGATTTAAATTCAAACTCATTTGAATATCATTTGAATGGGTTTGAATTGGGACTAGGTTTAGGAGTGGCCAAAATGTTGAGATTTTTGGTGGAGCTCCAGAAAGTGATGAAAGAATTTATGGGCAAAGTTGGAGACCAAGAATTGAGATAACAAAAGCATGGAATATTTTGCAAGTGTGTTATGGTTAATTCCAAAACAATGGAATATTTATGTAGCTCCCTAAATATTGAGAGGATATGTTATAAAGAGAACTCACCATGTGAATTCCCTTGATTTAAATGGATCGAAGATCCACACAATTTACTGAGCCGAGTTTTAAAAAGGGTTGCATGATGACATGATGCAATGCAAATGATGTAATAAAGAATGCAACGAATAAAACAAATCACACGACAAAACTCGGAATTCATGGAAGGCATCTGGAGCGCCGGTATTGGTGCGTCACAAATCTATGGCCCCGGGGTCTATTTTCCGTCATATAAGTTTCCGGTCTACTATTTTGCAATCTTTTACTTTCCTATCTATAAAGCAAAAATACAAAAAATATTTACTTTATCGTTTGTTTAGTTTCATCTATCTCTATCAGATCTCACTTTTGCAAGTAACCGTGAAGGGATTGACAACCCCTTTATCGCGCTGGGTGCAAGTTATTTGATTGTTTGTGCAAGTATTAGGTGCTTTGTGCGTTGTCTCCTATTGGATTGATACCTTAGTTCTCTAACTGAGGGAAATACTTATCTCTACTTTGCTGCATCACCCTTTCCTCTTCAAGGGAAAAACCAACGCAAGCTCAAGAAGTAGCACCGACCGGATGGATCAAAAATTGCAAAGAAAATCAAGAAGAATGGTGGCATTGGAGCATACAAAGAAGAGTTAATTGTGTTGGTGGAGGTGCATTGGCAGCCGACCAGAAGGATGAGAAGGTGACTTTTGTCTATGATATGAAGATGATGGAGGAGAAGTGGAAGGCAAAGGTGACAACTCAAGAGAGGAAGGTGCTAGCGGAAGAAAAAGGAATTGAACTTGAGATGAAAAGGCTTGCATTGCAGATCGAGGAAAAAAATGAAAAAGACTAAGCTTGAGGAGCAAAAGCTTACATTGGCGGTCGAGGAGCAACAAAGCAGGAGGGTGGTCAAGGACCTCTCTATCATATTCATGGATCCCAGCAACATGGTTGAGAGCCGAGACAATATTGGGAGTTCAGTTGTGGGGACATCTTAGCTAGATGTGTGGTGGCGACAACCACGGAGGAGGCGGCAATGGTGGCATCGCCGGTGACGATGCTAGTGCATGAGGCCCATGCTACGATGGCTTTTGGTCCACCATGTGTTGGTGGTTTTTGGAATGACTTGTTCATTTGGTGCCTTTTGGCACCTATGGTTTATGTTTAATGGATTGGATGAGCTTTATTTATCCCCTAGTTCAATTATGATGTGATGCATTTGAAATGTTTATGTTTTCTTTCAAATGTAATGGTTTTGTTTTAATTGTTTGACCAAAGGTTTGGAAGAGTTGGAAAAGCAATAGGGGATTAAATACGGGGGATCTGCTAGCTGTGAAAAGGTTCAATCCCTCAAAAAAATTGACTTTTGAGGATAAGGAGAAGGTTTACCGGATTAAGTTTAGGAGATCTATTAGAGATGCTCTTAGTGTGCTACCATCTTTCACTGTTCCCTTCCCCCAAGATTTCATCTCATAGCTTTAGAGAGTGATGTTGATTTGCACGCCAGGTCCCGCCACCCATCAGTTATGTTGATGGGATGTGGAGGCGAGAATTTTAGCATCAATACTCCTTTGCAATTTGCATGCATGCGAATATGGTAAAAAATAGATGTCATTGGTTGTTTTGATACTGGGAAATTTAAAATGTATAACAGCAAAAAATGTAATAAATCCCAAACCTCATATCTTATTTACGATCTATCTTCACAATTGGATTTGTCTCGACGAGAGCTTTGATATTGGACACCATATGTGTATGCTTCCGTAGAAAAATCAGTTTAAAAGTTGAGCACCAAGTGATTTATAGAGTTATCACCATACAGGTACCAGAGTTGCCACGTGATAACTTTGGTAACAAAAAGTTGGGTGACGATTTCATGAACCCTGGGAATCAGGTATCGAAGTGCTTGTCAATACGAATGTAAATTGTCAATGAGAATCCGAATCCGAGCTTTGTAATATTCTTACACCAAACTGCTCCCTTCATTTATATGCACTCTAATATTAGTATTTTCTCAAGTCAAAATTTGTTAATTGACCAAGTTTATAGAATAACTGAATTTATCATCTAATGTATTTTCACATCCTATATTTGTTATTTTAAATATTCATATTTTCATGTAAACGTGGCCAAATTTTATAAACTTTTTTTTTGAAAAGCTTCATAATTTTTTTGATTCAACGAAAATTTAATAAATGAATGACATGAGTGAGTTCCTTCATACCCGAAGAAACTCACTCATGTCATTCATTTTTTTCTCTTTCCCTGTGTGGTCTTAGTAATTTTAGGTTTTCCCTTTATGTACAGCTAGTTTTTTTTATCATTGTTTTAGATGAGCTCTTTTATCAGTTGGTTGTATGGAATTTATCATGCGGATGGAAATCGGTGGAAGGAAAGTCACACGCACGCGCTAAGAGCATCTCCACCCGTCTCCCTAGGAAGGCCCCCAAGAGCACTTTTCTAGCGTTGGCGGTCAAAAAAGTTTCCACTCGCGCCCCCCAGGAGCACAAATATCGCCGGATTTGGCCAAAACTACGGCCGACGCTCTCATCCCATTCCCAGGATCTCGGGGGGCAGCTGGGGGAGGAGAGAGACTACTTTAGTTGCTTTGGGCCCATTGTCAGCCTCCCACTCCCTCTCTCTCATCGCTTTTCCTTCGGGCCCACCCACGTGATCTCTTTTCTCTTTCTCTCCCCCACCAACTCCCGCCCGCACAGAACGCCTCGCCGACGACGTCCAGTTGCGCCGGACCCGCCGAGCTTGCCGCCCCGCATCCTCCTCGCGCTTGGCCCTCGCTGTCGCCGCCGCTGTCCCCGCGCGGGCGCGGGGGGCCGCCGCCGCCGTGGAAAAAATTCTATTCCTTCGTGGTGTCCCAGTACCTCAAGACTCACGCGCGCGCCGTCCAGGCACCGGAGCCCCCGCGCCCGCCGCGCGCCGATCCCGAAGTGCTCCGCCAGGGCCGCCGCTGCCGCCTCCTCGTCCTCCACCTGGCCGTCGTCCCCGGCGGCAGCCGGCCCGAAGCACCCCTGCGCGCCCTGCGCGAGGAGCACGTCGAGCGAGTCGACGACGCCCACGGGCTCCGGCGCGCCAAGGCCGAAGGCGGCGAAGGCCTCGCGCATGCGCGGGTAGCCGGCGCGCCGGATGCCGTGGCCCGCCCACACGCGGCCGTCCAGCAGCTCGAAGATGTCCGGGAAGACGTCCTCGAACGAGGGTGCACCGGAGGAGGCGGAGAGGACGCCACCGTCGGCGCTGGCGTCGTCCGGGCGGATGAGGGTGGAGTAGCTGGAGACCTCGACGAGGCGGCGCGGGCAGACGAGGATGGCGGCGAACTCCAGCAGGCTGCACTCGCCGGGCAGCGACAGGGACTGCGTAGCCTCCACGTCGAAGAACACCATCTCCCTCTTCTTGGTGGTCGCCATTGGTTGCGGCAAGCAACTCGGTGGTGGTTTCTTGGCGATGGAGCTTTGTTTGTTTGTTTCTTGCTTGAAGGAATGGAGGAGAGAAGGGATGGGAGAATGGATGATCCCTGTCTTGTCGGAGGAGCCTGTCGATGGAGCTCTGGGGGCGCAACGAGTGGAAAAAATTCCACCCCCAAGCCGAAGTTTTCGCCGGCAGCCCCCCAAGAGGCGAAAAAATGCCTCCTGGGGAGGCCAACGGCTGGAGATGCTCTAAAGGACTGATGTTCGGGCGTTACAAAATCGTACGTTGAATTATTGGTGTCAAACTTTGATCACATTGTTACTGGTCGGTGGTACTAGTACTACTTGCACCTTGAGTCCATGTCGTCACCGCTTTTAGTTTAACTAGTCACCTGCCAATCGGATCTTCACCGCAGTTCCTTATCTACCAAGTTCCTTAGGAGCAAGGGCATGGATCAGATAGGCCACAACCTTTGCTATTATAGTGCAAGAACATATTTTAAACAAACGAGACATCTCTATATATTGTGTCCATCTCTAGCATATACCCATCCAACCAAATCAGCCTTTTGCACTGTCAACTGGCCTTTCTTCCCACAACTTGTCAAGAGAGAGAATGGTTCTTAGCACGCTCATGAGTGCAGCTTCAGTGCCGTGGAACTCCCTTGTATGTGGCACCATCGGCTTTGTGCTCCTATGGCAGGCTAGCCGGCTGGTAGATTTGCTGTGGTGGCACCCGCGGCGGCTTGAGCATGCCTTGCGCGCCCAGGGCCTTCGTGGCACGTCGTACCGCTTCGTCATCGGGGATATGATGGATTATCGGCGCCGGCGCAAGGAGGCGCAATCGAGGTCGATGCCGCTGCGCTGCCACAGCATAGCCCCCCTCATCGCGCCGCTCCTCTGCGACATTGTCCGCGAGCATGGCCATACACAACCCTGACTTGGCCAAGGAAGTGTTGTCCAACAAATTCGGCCACTTTGAGAAAGTCAAGTTTCCGCCACTGTCCAGGCTGCTTGCCGCAGGCCTGGCGGAACACGAGGGCGAGAAATGGGTCAAGCATAGAAGGATCCTTAACCCTGCGTTCCACCTGGAGAAGCTCAAGGTATTTGTAATTGTTTCATCAAGGATTGGCTCACGATTGTTTTACAGGAATTAAGTGTGTGATTGATCCTCTGAGCGTACATCATTTAATCCGGTTATTCTGAAAAACTCGTTTAATTTGCAGCTCATGCTGCCAGCGTTGTCTACAAGCTGCGAAGAACTTGTCAATAGATGGACGCGGTCCCTTGGCTCAGACGGTACCTATGAGTTGGATGTCTTCCCGGAGTTCCAAAGACTCACTGGAGATGTCATTTCTCGCACCGCATTTGGCAGTAACTACCTCGAAGGTGCCAGGGTTTTCCAGCTGCAATCCGAGCAAGTTGAACGCATTGCCGGGGCTTGGAAGATTGGCATTCCCGGTTACTTGTGAGTCAGCACCTCGTAGTACTATCTTCGTCCTGGTTTATTAGTCCTCTTAACATTTTGTGCGAAACTTTGACCAAAGATTTAACTAGAAAAATAATAATGCATGTCATCAAAAATTAATACGAATCCAACGATATATTTTTTGGCAACATGCATTATTATTTTCTTAGTTAAATTTATGGTGCAAGTTTAGCACAAAATATTAAGGGGATCAATAAACCAGGACGGGGGTAGTACTAGTTAAACTTCATTAATATGTATTTCCTCCATTCTAAAATAATTGTTTTTGGAATGGATGGAGTATTCATCTTTTCCATCAAGTTTCAAGATAGTACAAACTTCCTGCCAAAAGCTAATATGCTAGCATCGATTTTTCTTGTGAGGATCTCTGATATAGATTTTTAAAATCAGCATTAATCAAAGACGGGAATACTGATGTAGATTAACACTAGAGACCATGTTTTGTCGATCTGAGCTCTACCTTAAATAATGAGAGTTATTCCGTGATTTAGTACCATTAATCCATATGTGCTAATAGTCAGTGGTATTTACAGGTCCTTGCCCACCAAAAATAATAGAAAGATGCATCAAAATAATAGTGAAATTGAATCCATTCTACATGGTTTAATTGGAAAAAGAATGCAAGCTATGCAAGAAGGAGAAAATACCAAAGAGGACTTACTTAGCTTGATGCTTGAGTCAAACATGAGGACCTCAGATGACAACGGCCAATTCATCTCAGGAATGACCATTAAAGAGGTCCTGGAGGAATGCAAGTTGTTCTATCTTGCAGGGACAGAAACAACATCAATATTACTCACATGGACAATGATCGTACTAAGTATGCATCCAGAGTGGCAGGACCGTGCAAGGGAGGAGGTCATTAGCTTATTTGGAAAAAAACAAACTTGAGTATGAAGGCGTTAACCGACTCAAAACAGTGAGTGGTGTTTTGTTTACTTGATTCCATTGTTACAACACGATATAAAATTGGATGTATAAATCTTGCAATCTACTATATTTGCAGGTGACCTTGATTCTTTATGAGGTACTCTGGTTGTACTCGCCTGCTGTCGCATTCTTCCGTAAAACATACAAGGAGATAAAGATTGGGGGCATCACATACCCCGCCGATGTTCTCATTGAGCTTCCCCTGTTGTTAATGAACCATGACCCAGATATATGGGAAGGGGACGTACATGAGTTCAAGCCGGAGAGGTTCACCAACGGGATCTCCCAGGCATCCAAGAATCCCGGTGCATTCCTACCATTCAGTTGGGGGCCACGTATCTGCATTGCCCAACAGTTCGCCCTTCTTGAGGCTAAGATGGCGTTTTGCATGATCCTTCAATGCCTTGAGTTTGAGCTCGCACCGTCATACACTCATGCCGTAAATAACACCAGACTGATGCGCCCAATGCATGGTGCGCAAATCAAGCTTAGGGCAATTTGATGATCACCCACGACAATCTACATGTTGTGCACTATTTGTTGTCGTGTGACTAAACATATAATAATGCATTAAAATACCGATGGGATTGAGACTTCACGTGAACCATTTTTTGTGCCTTTACAATGAAAGCCGAGTTGGTGGTTGTTGTTTGGTGTCACCACCCACTCAATCCTCCACATATACACTATATCCTTGATACCATGCACATATATGGTCCTAGCCCATTAAAACTCCACGCATGGAGCTTCCTACTGTGCAACTTGTTTGACTGTTGCGTGCGCGGTGCCAATGCCAGCGGCGATCTTCCAAACCCAATGCGCGTGGTTACTAAGCACATCACATCTTATATTCAAAAAAAATACTAGCACTCTACCGCCGTCCTCCGTGGCCCTGGCGGCCACCCCATTGCCCCTAGCATCATGATCCACTCTGGACACGGCGGCCACCACTCTTATCCAACCTCTACTTCCCACCAACCATGTCACTAGCTGATCTCAACTTCTACATAGTCCAGGAATTCACGCAGGTAGTCTCGAGGAAATGGGGTGTTCCTATCAATTTTGAGGAAGACAAATCTCCAAGAATTCTTCCTTGTGGCTGAATTCACCAGATCCCGCATCCGTTTGACTGAGGAATCGGTCGACACCATACTTCTATCTTGCTTTGGAGGTCGTGCATCCCATTTCAAAGTGAAGCTGCTTCAAAATTGGCCGTTCAAATTCTCTATTTCATCCAAGGAATTAGGTTTCTCTATTATCAAAGGAGGTAACATTTCTATGCATGCCCTCAATGTTAATTTTCTTCTCCGGGGATCGGGTGGTCCTAACTCCTGCCGGGAACTTGATCAATATCTATAAGAAAAAGAAGATGAATGGATTAATATCTTTCGTCTAAAATGACCTTATCAGGGCTAGCTACATTTTCTTATGAGTATATCTTGCACCCACTCTCTAATTTTGCCTAAGAGCCATGTTAGCAATGTCGGGATTGAAACTGTTGAACCTTGACGGCAAATATTATCTGAGCTCTTGTCTGATGCTTCTCTGATGAGGTGGAAATCCCTACTGATGACCATTGGCCCCCTAGTGTTAGTGTTATTAAGTTCAATTTCTGGTAGGAAAGTTTTTGTCGTATGGTCGACCAGACGATAAACCACATACAACTCCTAGGTGTTTCAAATGCCTATATTTTTTATGGATCCACTAATTACAAACCTCCTAGGGAACCAAGACGTGACCTCGAAAAGGTCCTTGTTAATACCAAGCAGGACTTGTTTCTATGAGATGATGGTGAGAAATACCGATGTTGTTGATGATGATGAGTTGGTAGAGAACTAGGCCACCCCTTATGCCTGGCCGGATGGATAAAAAATTAACCAAGAATAATGGTGGTGTTGGAGCACACAACGAAGAATTAACTGTGTTTGTGGAGGTGAAGAGGGCCTTGGCAGCCGACTAGAAGGAGAAGGTGAATTTTTTCGATGAGATGAAGATGATGGAGGATGAGAAGGGGAAGGCAATGGTTGCGGCTCAAGAGTGGAAGGTGCCAGTGGAACAAAAAGGACTTGAATTTGGGACGAAAAGACTTGCATTGGAGACCGATGAAAAAAACACTATGCTTGAGGAGCAAAAGCTTGCATTGGTGGTTGAGGAGCAAAAAAGCAAAAGGGTGGTCAAGGACCGTGCTATCATGTTCATGGATCCCAACAACATGGTCGAGAGGGCAAGACAATATTGGCAATTCAGTTGTAGGGATGTCTTAGCTAAGATGTGTGGGGGCGACAACGATGAATGAGGCGGAAATGGTGGCATCGATGGTGACGGCGCAAAAGCATGAGGATGGCTTTTGGTCCACCATGTGTTGGTGGTTTTCTCGAATAGCTTGTTCATTTGGTGCCTTTTGGCACCTATGGTTATGTTTGATGGATTGGATGAACTTTATTTATGCCCTAGTTCAGTTATGATGCCTTTGAAATGTTTATGTTTGCTTTCAAATGTGATGGTTTTGTTTCAATTGTTTTACCAAAGGTTTGGAAGTATCGGCAAACCAAAAAAGGAGGGGATTAAACATCGGGGGTCTGCTAGCTGAGAAAAAGTTTAATCCCTCAAATAAATTGACTTTTGGGGATAAGGAGAAGGTTTGAAGGATTAAATTTAGGGGATATGTTAGAAATGTTCTTAGTGTGCTACCTTCTTTCACTATTCCCTTCCCCAGAATTTCATCTTGTAGTTTTAGAGAGTATGCAAATAAGGCAAAAAAATAGATGTCGAAATTCTTTTGATACTTGAAAATTTAAAATGTAATAAATCCTAGCTGTAAAAAATGTATTAAATCCCAAACCTCATATATAATTTATGACCCGCCTTCACAATCGTCTATGTCTTGACAAGAGCTTTGATATTAGACATCGTATGTGTATGCTTCATTGGAAAAATCAGTTTAAAAGCACTAAGTGATTTATAAAGTTACCAGTATACGGGCACCAGCTTTATCACGTGATAACTTTGGTAAAAATGCCGGGTGGCAATTTCATGAATCATGGCAATCGGGTATTGAAGTTCTTGTCAATACGAATGCAAGTTGTCGATTTGACGGACAATCCAAGCTATGTAATATTCTTACACCAAACTACTCCATTCGGTTATATTTACTCTGCATATTAGTTTTTTCTCAAGTCAAAATTTGTACATTGACCAAGTTTATAGAATAATCAGATTCATCATCAAATATATTTTCGCATCCAATGTTTGTTACTGTAAATGTTTATATTTTTATATAAACTTAGCCAAATTTTATAAACTTTTTTTGGAAAAACTTCATAAATTTTCTTTTTTCGATTGAACAAAAATGTAATAAATGAACAAGTAAAAAATCCTGAAGAAATTCACTCATTCATTCCTTTTTGTTTCTTTCTATGTGTGGTCTTGGTAATTTTAGGTTTTCCCTTTGTGTACGCCTATCAGCTAGTATTTTATCATTTTCTTAGATGAGCTCTTTTATCAGTTCTCTTTACGATCATCTCCTCCTTTATTCAGTCATAGGGTGGCATCGTTTACAATCCAGGGAGTAACCGCATCAGGCGCAAATTCCAGCCAAGAATTCGAAGGAGAAAATCTAGCTAGCCTAGCTAGTTCATGAGCTACCTGATTGCTCTCTCTATTGCAATGATCAAGGGTTATATGATTAAAATCTAGAGACATAAAATAGCAGCAATTGAAGATGACAGTGGCCACTGAAGAAGAAGAAGAGAATAACCGTCAAGTAATGCTGCGACCACCTCCGCTCTTTTATCAGTTGGTTGTATGGAATGCATCATGCGGACGGAAATCGGTGGAAAGAAAGTAACTGTTAGCTTAATCTTGATCACTTGTATCTGCATATTTGCTTTAGTCGTGCATGTAACATAGATTAGGGAGTTCTTCTCCGGAGAGGTCTCGGCTGAGCGGGCAAAGAAGATGAGATACTAGCTGCCGTGTGATACGGCGAGCATGGCGAGATGCCGATGGCAGTGTGAAACTGCAGTGCTGCGCAAGGCGGCAAGGTAGTGTGATACAGCAAGCACGTGTATGAATGGAGCAAGACCGGACGTGCTGGCCTGATTAGTTGGAGGAGCCAAGAGATCTGGTGAGTTAGTTGTATGCAAGTCGTAGTTAGCTGCATAGCCGGGTCTTGTGACCGTTGAGAGATTGGCACAAGTGATGAGTATAGACGTGCATGTAATTAGTGGTTAGGTAGTGCCGTAGTGCATGGAGTTAGTTGAGCTAGTGGCCGGGTGATGCGTGAGTGCATGGGTTAGTGGCTGGTTATGGTGACTGGTAGCGCGTGCGTGAAGCCAAGGCCTGTTGTATAAACATGTTTTGCATACTGAGTAATCAAGGAGGCCGTGAGGGCTGGGAAAATACACAATGTAGTTTCTTGTTCCACCAATGAGGAGAGCCTCTCGGCAAAGCATCAGCTGGGAAAATACACAATGTAGTTTCTTGTTCCACCAAGAAGAAGTTTTGTTGCGGCAGCGATCAAGAGTTCGCTGGCTACACGCAGGTGATCGCAATACAGCTCACTTTCAAGCACAGGCAAAGCAAAGGAAACATATGAGTCGTATAGCTGGTCTGAAGCGGCTAGATGGATCTGTATGTGCGGACTCTGAGGAGGAGAAGGTGGAAGTCCAAGGGTTCTATCAACAACTTTATACTTCGCAGGGTTTTCAGAACATGGACGGTTTGCTCCACTTTGTGCCAGAACGGGTTACTCCGATTATGAATGATGATCTTCAGCGATCCTTTGAGGCTGCGGAAGTACGCACGACACTGTTTCAAATGGCCCCCTCCAAATCGCCTGGCATTGATGGTTTCACTGCGGGGTTTTTTTAGCGACACTGGTCAGTTGTTGAGAAAGATTTAGTGCCGGCTGTGTTAGATTTTTTGAATGGTGGGGAGCTTCCTATGGGCCTTAATGACACTTCTATCACGCTGATCCCTAAGGTACGACACCCCCAATCCATCACCCAATATCGTCCCATATCGCTTTGTCCGGTTCCCTACAAGATTGCTGCTAAAGCGATTACTAATTGCATGAAACCGTGGATGGACTCAATAGTGGGGGAGGAACAAAGTGCGTTTGTACCAGGCAGGTTGATAACTGACAACATACTGGTAGCATTCGAGAGTATTCACTCAATGAAGAGGAGGAAAAAAGGGAAAAATTTCTCATGTGCTATTAAGTTAGACATGATGAAAGCGTATGATCGTGTGGAGTGGCATTACTTGGAGGCTGTGCTTCTCAGACTGGGTTTTGGCCACGAGTTTTGTTCGACTGATTATGAAGTGTGTGATGTCAGTCAGATTCACTGTCAGAATGAACGGTGAGCTACTTCCTTTCTTCACACCCTCTCGGGGTTTGAGACAGGGATGTCCGGCATCCCCCTTTCTGTTTCTGCTATGTGCGGAAGGACTCACCTCTCTGCTGAACTATTATGGTGGCAACTTTATAGACAGAGGGAT